ATAAAACAGCCCTAAAAGAAGGTGGATTTAAGGCAACACTCTTATACTCACCTCATATCACAAAAAAAAAACAAAACAACCGGAAGAGAAATGTCATATGGTTCAACCCATCGTACAAAAAAAAAAACCCCGTAAAACAAAAGTAGGAAAAATTTTCATTAAATTCATATATAAACATCCGCCCAAAAGCGATCTCCACAAAATATTTAAAAAAAAACCAGCAAAAATCAGCTATAGTTACACAGAGAACATGACACATAATAATCAAATACAGCAGGACCACATGCACAAATCAAATCCACGTGTAACTGCAGAGCAAAGAACGAATGCCCGTTAAATGTCAACTGCTTGCAGAATAACGTAATATGCAAAGGCAGTATAAAATCAGCAGGTAACTAAGAAAAAATATACTTAGGTATAACTGAAGGACCCTAGAGACAAAGAAAATATGCGCACAAAATATCGTTTAAAATAATAAATACACGAACAGCACAATGCTTTCTAAACATATATAGGGAATTAAAAACAAAAATCAAATAACACCGAAAATATTGTGGAAAATAAGTAAAACAGCAACAGCCTATAAGAATAAATAAAAAAAATCTGTAAAACCTCTCTGATGTGAAAATATCCATAATTACTTTCCCAGGCTAACGCAGATTATTAAATAAATGATCAGAACTAATCTCAGAATGTAGAAAACAAATTTTTACTAAATCAATTAAAAATCGAAAATTAAAAACGAACAAAAGAATAAAAACAAACAAATAAAAAAATTAAATTAAAAAAATATAAATAAATAAATAAGTAAAATAAATGAATCTAAATAAATTAAATAATAAACAAATTAACAAACAACGAATACACACATAAACACAAGTAAACATAAAAATCATCAGGCGGTCGGTAGCTAAAGTTAGTAAAATAGGAACCTTTATACCACCAGGCGAGTCCAAGATGGTAAGCCAAAAAAACTCGCCAGAGGAGGAAGGGTAACCTATGCGGTTAAAATAAATATAGCTGATAATAAAAAAATATAAAAAAAAAACTTCCACTAGAAAACATTTGCCCGTGTGGTGAAAAAGTGCTCAATGCCATAGTGAAAAATACTATTACAGTCGTGGAGCTTAGAATTACTGCTTTTAAATCACAAATTTCCCATGATTTTCCTCGAACACTCATATCTGCTCGAAGCGTATCTTAACATAAACAAAGAACGTCATAAATTATGAAATGGACTAAGTCCGACAATTATTTTAATATTTTTATTGTTTATACGTTATTTTTATAGATAAAAATATTTAAGTAAATGCTCTGTTTATAATAAACAGTACTAACAACAGTTACCGACCTGAGCGTTCGAGATGTTGTTAATACTGTTTATTATAAACAGAGCATTTTCTTAAATAAATGTATCTATAAAAATTGCGTATAATCAATAAATATATTAAAATATATAGGCATATATCTGAAAAAAAAACCTACGGTTTAAAATGAAAGATCTTTCTTGAAGTATTTTAAGTTTTAATTCTAAGCTAATAAATTATATTTAATCTTTTCTTTAAGCTATATAGCTTGCTGCCTTTCAAACCGAATATAAATTGATTGGAATTATTATTTTTAAATCTCTAAAATCGGCTATATTGACAAATTTCTTGACACAACGTAATTCTCTTTATTAAAATTCTTTCAAAAATAAAATGTACTTTTCTGAAACTTAATTTGAGGAAGATTAACTGATTTAAAGTTTAATCAATTAGAATTAAAAGAAATATTTGGTTTAAAAAAAACACTTTTAACAAGGAGGTGCCTTTTTATGGGGTGTTAGCAAATTTATCGATAACTTTATGAAAAGTAAAGGGGCCATAACTTATAAATTACTTGACGAATACAGCGTAAACATCGTTTTTATATAATTGTTTAACTACCCAGTTAAAAAAATTAGGAAAATATTCTAAATATTATATCTAATATTGTATCGAATTTTAGGTACTTCGGTGTTATAATCACATTTACAAAGAGGCTTGTGAGTGAAATTTAAGAAAATTACCGATGACCATTAAATTGACTAAAGTTATCGATCTTATTTTCTGATAATGTGTATCGACGTCTACACTTAAGAAATCGACATGGTTATACACATACACACAAAATTCAAAATTATTTTTAAAATACTGGTAGTCACTGAATTGTAGTAAGCTGTTCAATATATGATTAGTTTATATGAATTTAATTAATAACAATATCACCTACCCGCTATATATCAAGACAGAATTTTATAAGATTTAAGATTTAAATAATTATAATTAAATTTTTAAAAAATGAAAACAATTACAATTCTTGTAAAAGTTAATTATTCTTTAAAAGAAAAGATTTTTCTTAAGACAATGGTACTCATAATATATCTTATTCATAAAAGCAACTAAAATATTTTCTACTTAAATAATATCTTAGTCTTGTTGCATTTTTTTATTTTCCGATTCAAAGCTGTTTTTTTTTTCTACAACTGTGAATCCTGTTGGACAAAAGGATGATTTAAATTCTTTAAGGAATTTTCTACATAACCAATAAAAACGATTATCTATGCATAGCTTAAATATGGCGCAAAGTGTAGGATATCCAGAGAGGGATCAAAATCTCTCTCCTCACATAACAGTTTTAGCGCGACAAGCGTGCTAACCATTACACCACCACGGTGTGCCTAACATAAACGTTAATATATACAAAAATGAATTTCTCGAAATTTCATAAAATTAAAACGTGAGGATAACAGATGTAAAAATATGTTTTTACCAAACTTTTCTAAAAATGAAAGGTTTCTAAAATAATTTCCTTCATATTTGAATAAGTTGTGAAAGTTACATTAAAATTAGGTAGTTACCTGATTTTTACAAAAATGTTTTTTAAATCAATGTGTTTTTGACAGCAAAAAATGGTCAGCCGTTGACGCAAGAAAAACAAGGTATTTAACCAAAATTTCGAAAGTTGTAAAAAGGATTAAAAAATATAGTTTAATAAACAGAATATTCTTTTGTTTTTCCTTTTAATAATAACATAAAGAATTTTATAATATCTATCTATCTATCTATCTATCTATCTATCTATCTATCTATCTATATATATATATATATATATATATATATATATATATATATATATATATATATATATATATATATTATTTTAGAACTCTTAGTGTCTAGTGTAACCCAGACAACCGCCTAAAAAGATTAAGATGTTAAATTAAGTTTTTAAAAAAACATTCAGAATATATATTTTGTCTTTTTGGTCAAAATGTTCCTAATTATTATCATGTTTACTATAAATACCGATTTATATGACCACTGTTCATATTAATGCATATTACAAAATATTATCCCTGTCATAATCATAATTGATATTTATAATTATTAACACCTATTGTAAGCCTTGCGAGTTTTCAGTTCTCCCATCATTCTTTCTTGATTATGTATTCTGAATATTTCAATGGTCTCTTGCTGATTGTCAGCACCAGTGTCTTTTTAGTTTTCATTTTTTTTCTAAGCCTTCTCGTTTTTGACATCGTTTATTCATTGTATTTTCCCCAAGAAGAGAACCACATCCCACTTACATTAAGTACTACAGAGGTGGTTGTGAAGGGCCATGATCGCTCACGACCTGAAAGAATATGACACCGATAGCGAGAGAGACAGAAAGCGATTAAGAATTTAGTTGCTTGTAGTAGTAGTTGCAGCATTGTTGACTGAGGAGTGTTAATTTTTGACGTCGTGATGAAAAGAATTGGGCGCGTTGCGAATTTAAGTGATAGCTCGAGTGTCTTTACACTTTATGATCTGTATTTTAGTTCGTACCTATATTTATTATTGTCGCTATGGCTATCATTATTATTATTATTATTATTATTATTATTAAATAATCGGTTAAATTGATCGCAAGAAGATATCATCTAAGGGAGGAACGAACACAAGGAATAATCTGCGAAACTCGGTTGGTATGAAACTCTCCAGCAGTTACAAACTATTATTATTATTATTATTATTACTACTATTATTATTATTATTATTATTAACAACAACAATAATATACTACTACTACTACTAATAATAATAATAATAATAATAATAATTGTTATTGTATTAATTAAAATTAATCTTTTTTCATTAATCGTCGATAAACACTTAAGTGCTCTCGTATAACAATAGCTATCATTATTATTAGTAGTAGTAGTAATGATGAAACTACTTATTAGTAGTAATAGTAGTAGTACTAGGGAACTAATACTATTACTATAATGATCACCACTTTTGTTGTGATAAATAATAATAATAATAATTATTATTATTATTATTACATAACAACAAAAAATTTGGCTTACAGCCATATCATATTGAAACACCGTTTCACGTACGGTGACCGAAGTTACGAACCGCTGAGCCTGGTCATTACTTAGATGGGTGACCGCTGCGGAATACCAGGTGCTGTAAGCTTGGATGTGCGGGTGGTGTAATGGATAATGGCTCGGAATTGTTAATCGGATAGCCGAGTTCCAATTACAGTTAGGTTCCTTACAGTGACTTCTGTGCAAAAACATTTGGCGAAGGCATGAATCCACCTCTTCTCTCCCCGGCTATGGGTTATTTAGTAGCACAAAAACAATTATTATCTAAAAACAAAAACTGCGTGCAAAATATTTAGATTTCGGCATTAAATAACCCTTGTAGGTGTTGTTATGCCGCTAAAGAAAAGCAACCAATCAAAATAAGAATGAATTTAATAAAATATTTAAAATATATAACTCTTAAATTTACTAAAGGTTTTTACTTGAATTTTAGTTTTTACAACTTGTACGGTCTTTATATGACTCAATATGACTTAAATTACTTATATGTGGAGCACTAATACGTGCAAGTATGACACAGGTCAGAGCAAAGTTTGAAAAAACGCCAGCGATTCTGCCATCCAGCAGAATATTGCGAATTTCTTTTAGGTACAAAATCAGTTTAATGGAAAGCAAGTCCTTGCAGTATTAATGGGATCATTTCGGGGATTATAATAAATACAATGCAATAGAGAAAACATGAAATAAAGCAACTAGATAGATAGATAGATGAATGAATATAGATAGATAGATAGATAGATAGATTTGAACAGATAGATAGATTTGATAGATAGATAGATAGATAGATGGATAGATAGATAGATGATAGATAGATAGATAATAGATAGATAGATAGATAGATAGATAGATAGAAGGATCTGAAGGCATTGACATAGATAGATAGATAGATAGATAGATAGATAGATAGATAGATAGATAGATAGATAGATTTAGTGATTATATAATGGTGTATAAAGATAGATAGATAGATAGATAGATAGATAGATAGATAGATAGATAGATAGATAGATAGATAGATAGATTTAGTGATTATATAATGGTGTATAAAGATAGATAGATAGATAGATAGATAGATAGATAGATAGATAGATAGATAGATAGATAGAAGGATCTGAAGGGATTGACATAGATAGATAGATAGATAGATAGAAGGATCTGAAGGGATTGACATAGATAGATAGATAGATAGAATGGAATAGATAGATAGATAGATAGATAGATAGATAGATAGATAGATAGATAGATAGATCCGATTAATAAAAAAAATATCGTTTACAAAGTTTCCAATAATCTCTGAAGATAAAAATTTATTCGACTATCAAATTTTAAAACCGAACCCCGACATTTTAACTCGAGATATGTTAAGATTAAAGGGGGGATCCTGAGACGAAGAAAAGGTTTTCAAAAGAGAATCAAATGCTGATTAGTTATCAGAAAAGAAAGAGAAAGAGTTTGAGATGAGCTTAAACGAACGTAAAACAATTGGAAAACAAAAATAAGCAATTATCTCGAGAAAGAAAAAAGGGGTCATCCTTTCTCAAAAAGACGGGCATAATTAAATGATTTCTAATTAATAGGAATTACTTTATTTCATTTTATTTAATTTGAAAATAAATTTTGCGGAACAAGTTTGCAAATCAAACGTAGTAATTTTTTTATTGTGCTTCTGTTATATTTTATATAATTAAATCTTCTCAACAAACATTTTGTAAAAATTTATATCAAGCGCCGTTTTAAAATGTAGAAAGCGTTTAGTTTACTATACAATATTATTATTTGGGAAGGAGTGACAAGAGAAGTTTTTAGATAGATAGATAGATAGATAGATAGATAGATATGAACAGACTGATATACATTTGAACCGAAAAGAAAATGAGAGAGATTTGAACCGAAAAGAATAAGTAGATAGATAGATAGATAGATAGATAGATAGATAGATAGATAGATAGATAGATAGATTGTAGATGGTTGAAATGGAGGTAGACAAAAATAGAAATAGTTATGTAGAGACATAGATTCTAGTGGAACGGGAGGTAGATAGCGTATCCTCCACTTTGTCGTTATATGCGCGTGTGTTTATGCGTGTATGTGTGCGTCTATATTTATATAAATTTAGAAGCATACACACACACACACACACACACACATACACATACACATATATATATATATATATATATATATATATATATATATATATATATACATACATGCATTCGTACATATATATTAATAAATAAAATTAAGTATTCATTTATATTCCCTACTCTGAAATTCACGGAGATTACTTCCACGCGTTAGGCGAATTGATTTTAAAAGTGAATTTGAATTTAAAGTTCAATTTTTTAAAGGAGAAGTGGATGTAATCTCCGCGACATTAAATATATAATATATATAAATAACTTATATATAAATGAATTTTATATATATATATATATATATGACAAAATACACACTTATAATTATATATGTGTATAATTAAAATAGTTATTTTCTTTTATTTCAAGCGTTAGCTCGACCTTTATGATATTCTTCATAAAAGTTACAACACACATATATACATATATATGCATATATATATATACATATATATACATATATATGTATATATATATATATATATATATATATATATATATATATATATGTTTGTCTATATATATATATATATATATATATATATATATATATATATATATATATATACATATATATATATATATATATATATATATATATATATATATATATATATAATAAATATATACGATATATGTATGTCTATGTATATAAATATATACGATATATGTATGTCTATGTATATGTATATGTATATGAGTTTGTCTGACGATCGCAAAAGTGTGAAACCCAGGGTCACAAACTCACATCTATCAACCAAATATGTTAGCTCTATCTCTGATATTGAGCGCTTTCTAATAAAATTGCCGCACATAATATATAAATAATTATATATATATATATATATATATATATATATATATATATTTTAAATATATATATATATATATATATATATATATATATTTATATACACACATATATATATATATATATATGTGTGTGTGTGTGTGTGTGTGTGTGTGTGTGTGTGTGTGTGTGTGTGCAATAGACCCATATGGAACTTTGTAAATGTTAGTATGCATGGTTCGGCGCGCCAGTGTTTTCACGCATATTTTGATTTGCGAAAATTTGGGTGCTTATTTCTTTCAAAGCCTAAAATTAGCCAACAATAAGAAAATATCCTGGTGTATATAGTGATTTTCCAAGCGCCGCTTAGATGTGGCACAAGGCCGAAAGTATGGGGCACACAGTGAGGATGGAATTCACTACTCTGTCGTAATTGTTCTAGCGAGACATGCATGCTAACCACTACACTGTCGCGGGGTGCCCCATTCTGGTGTATATATATTTCTAATTAAATTCTCATTAAATACTCATATCATCATCCGATTTTCAAATGTATGTAATACACTTCATTCATGCCAGTTAAGACATACGGGCATACATTTTTTTTTTTTTACGATTACTTTTATACTCCCTTGAATAAATTTGTAGAGAATGTTAAATAACGTTACGGTCGCATCACGAATTAATCCAACTATTTAGGATGACAAAATGCTATTTATAAAAATTTTAAAATATGCCCATGGACAATCCTCTTATAAATCGTCCCTGATTAGGCCATCTTTTCCCATTTTTAAATGTATATATTTAATAAAAAATAAATGTTTTAACAATGGTCAGTCTATATAGTTTTTAGTTATCCCTCTCGGAATAACAAAATATGAAGAGCTTTCATTTAAACTAGAATCGATCATATTATTTTGTTAATTCATTTATTATTGATATTAAACGCAAGCAGTAAATCCAATCAGTGTGAATTGTATCGGCAAATAGCGCCTAAATAGATTTAGGTTTATGTTGGGTCACCGTCTGACTTTGTTGGCTTACTAGACGTATGTTTGCAATTTGTTTAACCTTTACTAAACACCTTTAATAGTTGATATATCATTCTTTAATATTTGACCTATCTTTCTTTATGGACTCGTCTGGCATTTTGAAACGCGAGAAACGATTATGATTAAAATCAAGCCGACAATAAAATGTAAAATAAATTAAAAACAAAGTTGAAAATCAGCGAAAATCTTTCACCCGTTTTTTTAAGGACTGAGAAATAGTAATTTTAAGTGGATTACATCTTTTTATTTTTATTATTATTATTATTATTATTATTATTATTATTATTATTAAGGTAATGATATAATTTCATTCAAATTTGGCCATATTCCAGGTATGTGTATGTAGACGAGAGTAAACAATATTGCGCGTGTCTCCGTCAGTAGACACCATCGATGGCCGCAAATGAATATTAATCTCATTTAAGAGAAGAAAAAAAAAATAGCGGTGAGGTAGACATTTAGTATTAATTTAATATTTTTCGGACTCCTGATATTATATATTTGTTATTCTGGCCGATACAATATTCGGCCATGCTCGCCTCTGTGTTTTATGTGGCTTTTAAAATTCGTCAAATATTGATTTTTATCATATATCTTGCTTTTATCAGATAATTTATTGAATGATGGTTTATGACTAAGACGAAGACATCGGTCAAAAAATGAGACGGAATGATAAAAAAACAGAACATCAGAAAAATACTCAAATATATATTAAAAAAAAAAATTCGAAACTAATATGTTTCGAATAAAAAACAGGTGAACTATACTTTAAAATGAATATTTTAAGAAATAAAAAAAGTTAATGGGTAGAAATTAATAAAACAATTCAAAGATAGATATGAACGGTCTGGGACAGATAGATAGATAAATAGATAGATAAATAGAGAACTAAGATAGCGAATAAGCAAGTGAGAGAAATAAATAATCAAGCGCATAGTATAATATAAAATAACAATATTTTATGATATAAAATAACAATAATAATAAGGAATAAGATAATAATTATATTAACCACTATCTTATTCCGAATTATAAAAATAAAATAAAATATTAATATTATACAATTCTATTCAAAACAACATATATGTATATATATATATATATATATATATGTGTGTGTGTGTGTGTAGTTACTAATTTACATATATAACAATATACATATATATATATATATATTCCCATTTACATATATACCCATATACATCTCTCTCTCTCTCTCTCTCTATATATATATATATATATATAGTTACAATATATATATAGTTACAATATATATATATTATATGTATTACCCATATAAGTATATATTATACATATTATACATATATATACATATATGTACATATATATACATATATATATATATACACCATTTACAGTAATATTTTAAAATATTATCATATCAAAAAGCTCTTTTAAAGTATTTAAAATTGAGCGCTTATACCTGTAAGAAAAGATACATTCACACATACACACTCACACGCGCAAACTATCACGCCTGCATATATACATACATATAAATATATATATATATATATATATATATATATATATATATATATATATATATATATATATATATATATATATATATATATATAATATATATATATATATATGAATCATTATCATTATATGAATACGCATTGCTATTCATTTAATTATATATACATAATTTATATTTTACATATATGAAAATAATAAGAAAAACAGTAAGATTTATAATCTGGTGTTCTTTGCAATTATTTTTATTTAAAAAACAACAGTGCTTGATACAAACAGTAGAGCATAATGTTATAATTATTTTCTTTTTTTAAAATATGATTCCATCACGACACAGATAATTTTTGTTTCAAAACTGAAAGTAAACCAAATTTAATTATAGAAATTAAACTTAAAATCAAGTGTTTCCTTCCATTGTAACATCGCTTGACAATGGAACGTAACTCTGGATTCTAAGTTTAATTTTTATAATTAAATTTACAACTTTAGTTTCAGTGTCGCGATGGAATCATATTTTTTAAAAAGAAAATAATTATGAAATATATTTTATATATTAAGCTTGTATTTAGGCATATTTTATTTCTCGGGTGTATAAATATGACCGGTCGTCTACATTATATGATATATAAACTTTATATATATATATATATATATAGCGTACTTCATATACGTGATATTGAATTTATTATGAATATATAATAAGTTATTATTACAAGTGTAATATACATATATGTACATTTGTGTGTTTTTGAATTATTGTATTATCATAATATTGCAAAAAATATTTGCCAGCTAATATTGCATGTTACTATATTTCATACAATTCATCAGTTCCTTAGAAATTTATAAAAAAATATTTATGTTATTATTAAACATCGTCTTTTTTAAAAATGTCCTTTTTAAACAACAGTATTTGTGAAAAAAATTCAAATGTATCGATCGAGGTTAAGGCATCTCATGATATAACTAAATGGGTTTCAATTCACGTCGATTCCGACAAGGCTGCAATTTCCATGGTCTTATATGGCATGGGAATTTTTTAGACTTTGTGAGAATTATACTAAAAGTAAAATCCTTTATGATATTCAATTTTAAGTTAATATTCTATTGGCAAAATCCATTAAAATATTGATATTGATATATAGATATTTGCATGAATATTTAAAATACAGAACTACGTTAGACACTAAAATATATATTATATAACATTTTATATTCTATACAGAGAGAAATACACACATTTCTAACACATGCAAACAGACACACAGATACACAACACACACACTCTCACACACACATATATATATATATATAAATATATACATATATAATTTCACTTAAATTTCAATTTTATCTTTGTATAAATATATATACGCAAAAATCGATCGACACACACACACATATATATATATATATATATATATATATATATATATATATATATATATATATATATGTGTGTGTGTGTGTGTGTGTGTGTGTGTTTATGAAATATTATACATTGATTTTATGGGAATATAAATTATTGCA